TGAACCGAGGTCTCTGGGTGTCCACCTGGGCCTGCCAGGCCCAGGGCCTCTGCCTTTCGTCCTCTCGGGTCAGGGTGCTGAGTGGCCTGAGCTGGCCCTGGGCCATGTGTGCTGGCCCGGCTCCTCACTCTGCCCGCTGCCCTTTCCCCGTTCCTACTGAGGGCCTGGGGTCTTTCTCGCCTCTCCTCGGGCCTGTCTGGTCCCGGGCCCTCACTGGGGCCTTGCTGGGCCCTGGGCAGGCTGAGAGAGGACGGGGGAAGGGCAGAGATCACTCTGGGAAGGCAGGGACCCGCAGGGAGCACAGGGATCTTAAGTCTTGGTCTCCACTTCCGGTCTCAGCCACTCCGGCCCCTGGTGAGGACCCTATTGAGGGAGGGGCCTGTAGCCCCCTGGGGGCCACTCCGTCCGGCAGGCTGGGTCCTGGGAGGCAAGGCCACTGGTCTCTCCATGCCTGGGGCCAGAGGAGACATCCTTCGTCCCGGCCACCTGGGGCACGAGGGTGTCCCAGGTGCTGGACGGCCCCTGAGCTGATGAGAGGGGACGGGGTGAGCCCCAGCGGCTGGCTAGGGTCTAGTGAGAGCCCAGTAAGTGCCAGGGAAGGGCAGTGGGGACAAGAGGACCACGATGTCCTAGAGCAAGAGTGACGCCCCCGGGTACTGCCAGCTCCTGTGCCCACTGGTTCTGGCCAAGCTGCCCTGCCCCATCCTGTGGGGGCTGGTCCCGCCCCCCACCCACACCCCTGCAGCTGGCTGGCTGGCCTTGGGCACCCTTGTCCCAAGCCCAAACAAAGCATCTTATCAGCCTCCACGGAGCCCTAGCTTCAGCTTGGCTCTGCCTGTGATGGGAGGTGGCAGAGGGTGAGCCCCGTCTGGCTGGCACCGGGGCCCAGGCCGCAGGTGCTGAAGGGGACTCGGGTGGGGCCGGGTGTGGCATGCGGACCTGCTCTCGGCCTGCCCTTCAGGCTGCAGTCTGTCTGGGCGTGAGATGGGGAGTGGTGCCCGCCTGGCCCTCCTGGGCAGAGAGGCTGGACAGCAGCTGCTGGGGCTGCGGGACTTGTGGGAGCTGCTCCTACAGTGGGGACATGGAGGCTTCGGGAGGGCGAGGCTCCCGGGACTGTCCCAGCCTCTGGGCGGGCCCGGGTGGGTGGACAGAGCCGGAACTTTTGGATGGTGGCAGTCGGGAGCAGTGTGCCTCCAGCATCCCAGGAGCTCTGCCACACGCCAGGCCTCAGGCTATGGCACCGAAGGGGACAGGAGACTTTGCAGAGCTGTGGGCAGACGAGACAGCGGAGGACCCTTGGGGGCCAAGCGGAGGGCTGAGGCGTGTCTTCCAGGCAGGGGTCAGGAGCAGAAGTTTAAGCGGGGAGAGGCTGGCCACTCACAGAGGGCAGTTGGGGCGGAGTGGAGGTTGGCAGTGGGGGGTGGTTGGCGGGAGGACATATCGAGGGGGCTGGAGTGGCCGTAAGGCATGAGCAGGCCAGTCTCCAGATGGGCACCCAGCGCTAGTCCAGCCCTTGCGCCCTATAGGCCCCGGGCCTTCAGTCAGCAGAGGCGGCGCCCTCCCCTCTGGTCTTCGTGGCCTGTCCCCTGCGCGCTCTTGTCCTCACCGGCCCGGGGCCTCTCCTGTCCTCTGCCCTATGTGGGGCTATGATAGGTCCCGGCCGTGGGTGGGGACGGTTGGTCTGGCCGCCTGGCTCAGCCAGGGACAGTGGAGTGTTGGGCCTGTGCCATTCCAGGTCCCCCACTTGGATTTCTTAAGTGTCGACACAGCTCTGCCCCCGAGCCTGCCAGGCGCCTGCCTCGAGGTGCAGGTGCTGCCAAACGCCACCTTGCTCCCCCCGACCCAGGCCATCTATGCTCCCGTGGTGACCCCCTCCTGCACTCCTCTCTGTGCAGACTGGACGCGTGGGGCGTGGGGACAAGTGTGCTGGGCTCCAGGTGGCTGGGAGCCATGGCGGGTTGGCTGCACTGTGGCCTCTCGGTGGCCATCCGGGGCTGTCTGGGCTGGTCTGAGCGTTGCTGGGCGGGTTGGAGGTGGCCCACTTGGCTGAACACCAACCAGCTCTGTGTCCCTGGGGGGAACTCAGGCCCAGGGTCGGAGTCCGCTCCAGGGCTGGCAGGGCCAGCTGTGTCCCCTGGCCGTGCTAGCGCCCTGACCGCCCTGTCCCCCGCAGGCTCCTGCTTCTGGGTGGCCGTGCTGGATGGCAACGTGGTGGGCATCGTGGCGGCGCGGGCGCACGAGGCGGACAACACGGTGGAGCTGCTGCGCATGTCCGTGGACTCGCGCTTCCGCGGCAAGGGCATCGCCAAGGCGCTGGGCCGCAAGGTGCTGGAGTTCGCGCTGGTGCACAACTTCTCCGCGGTGGTGCTGGGCACCACGGCCGTCAAGGTGGCCGCCCACCGGCTCTACGAGTCTCTGGGCTTCAGACACGTGGGCTCCAGCGACCGCTACGTGCTGCCCGGCATGACCCTCTCGCTGGCCGAGCGCCTCTTCTTCCAGGTCCGCTACCACCGCTACCGCCTGCAGCTGCGTGAGGAGTGACCGCCGCCCGCCCGCCGCCCGCCGCCCGCGCCCGCTTCCAGACGCTCACCTTGGCGTTCCCATTGGGTTTTTCCTTTTCCGACATCACGTGGTTCTCTGGCCGGTTCCGGGTGGGGGGGCGGGGCTGTTGCTCGTCCGTGACATTTCGGGGGGTGGGTTGTCAGCAGCCACGGTCCCTCGCCCTCCCTAGCCTGCTGGAGCCATGCCCTGAGGAGTGACAGCATGGGCCACCACGCACCCATGCAGCTGCCGGGCCCTGGCTGGCAGGGCCCCTTCCGGCCCTCAGCCACTGGGGCAGGCCCCACCTCGTCCACTGAGCACAGAACCTCTGCAGTGAGGCCCCCATCCAGCAGCCCCTTGGCCACCAGCCAGGCTGCAGCTCAGCCATTGGTCCCCGGATGGCGTGGCCTGCTGGGCTGGCCGGCCACTGCCCCGTGGGGCGCTGAGCTGGCCGCGGTCCGCTTTGCTCTGTGCATGCTGAGCACGTGGCCTGGCTGCAGCATGCCGCATGCCTGCCGCTCCGCCCTGCTGCCCTGCACAGGTGGGGCCCAGGCTGGTGAGCGCCCCGCCCCAGCCCTGAGCTGGGCGCGGTGGCCACCTGCTCTCGGGAGGGCCTGTCTCACAAGCCCTTTGCTTCCCCCAGTTCAGCTTCGCGTGGCCTCCGAATCACTCTCCTTCCTTTTGGTCCCCACCCATCCCCTGCCTGGGCTTTGCTGATTGGCGTCATCACCCCATGTGGTTCCCATAGCAACCCGCTGCCCAGCAGTGGTTAGGGCCCTTCAGGAGAGCCAGGTGGGGAGGCAGTCTTGGGGTCACCGCTCTCCCGTGCCACTGGATCACAGTGGCCTCTCCCAGACCTCCCGAGGAATCCCCCAGCTCACAGCCTACAGGCCCTGCCTGTGACTCTTACTAACCCAGGCTGCTGCCGGCACCTCTGAGCCCACAGCTTCTCCCAGCCTGAAACCGACCTGTTTTTTAATATGTTATTTAGACAGAATAGCACTCTGCATGTCTTTAATTCTTGGGACAAAATGGTAGTTTATACCTTAACACACACACACACCAGTGTGGTCTAGAATATGCAGTTTCTGGCCCAGTTGGTGGGGGTGGGTGGCCGGGTGGGTGGAGGTTTCAAAGTCCGAAACCTGGAAGGAGACCCTAGCTGAGCTTGATTGCCCCCCAGGAGCGTTCCTGGTTGGCGAGGCGGCTGCAGGCCACCCCTGCCCGGCCTTGCAGCCTCTGGGAGGAGAGCAGGTCTTGCCGTCCGTGCTGCTGGCCCTCCTCCCCAAGGTCGGAGGCGGGGGGCTCTTGGGCATGGACGGCCTGGGTGCGGGGGGAGCAAGGTGGTGTTTGGCAGCACCTGCACCTCGAGTTAGAAGCCTGGACCTGGCTGTGGTGACAGGAGGGGCATCAGTGCCTGCCAAGACCCCTTTCTTTGGGAGTTGCGGGAGGCGAGGCAGGCCACTGAACTGGGTCCCACATGCCTGAAAAGGCGCTTCGGAAATTAGCAAGTGAATGAAACAAACCCAGTTTCCCAAGGAGCCTTCTGTGCTGTCAGCAATCGAGATATTTGCAGAACACTGTACAGACCCTGCTGTCCCCTGTACATATCCCCCTGGTGGCACCCGGTCCCTGCTGGGGATGGGAGTTTTGTAGACTGTACAGAAATTGGCACCCTATTTTCTTGCAGTTCTCAGATTTTGTTAACCTGGATTATACAGACAGACGTAAAGTGTTTTAGCAAAATGGAAAACAAACAGTTGTGCCTTTTTCCTCTTTCTGTTTGGTTTGGTTTCGGCTCAAGGGAGCTAGTTGCTGTGGGGTGTTTTGGGGGCTAAGGCTGGTCTGAGGCCTGGTGGGGTGGGAAGGGTGGGGGGCGGCCACACAGGGTCAGCATGGTGGGTCACGAGGTGGTAACTTGGGGATGCCGCTAGCTTCCTCTGACCCTGTGCCTTCGGCACCTCTAGTCCCTGGAGTGGGGGTGCATGGGTGGGGGCCATTGGAGCCCACAGAGGTGGCAGAGGCCTGGGCTGCCAGTGTCTGGTGGAAGTTGACCAAAGCACCTCGCTGGAGCCGTTCCTGGGCGGGGCGCGGCTGTCTCCTGTTCTGCTGGCGTCTGTCTGTCCCAGAGGGGTCTGTGGGCTGGGCCGGCCGCCGTCGGACAGCCCCGGGGTGGCGGATGCGGCCTGCACTCCCGACCCTTCCTTACTGCCCTTCTGTTGCTGCCAGGACTCAGGGGATATGCCCGGAAGGGTGTGGCAGGGTGGCTGCGTGTCCGGAACCCTGCCGCCCAGCTGCTGAGGTGGGCAGAGGCACCTGTGCACCCACCAGGCCAGGCCTGTGTGCAGCCCAGCGGGTCCCTGAGGACCACTGGGGCAGCTCTGCCACCCGTCCCCGGGGCCAGAGACCGGGCACGCTGGTGGGGGGCCCGCCCCTGGCAGCTGCCTTCCTTCCTGGGAGGTAGCTGCTCCAACAACACGCATTGAGATGTGAATTTTATATGTTTGTAGAAATTCTGTTACTTCTACCTCTGTGAAGCGTCCTCCTGGGGTCCTGCTCGGTGCCAGCTCTGGGTACCTTCTCTGAGTTGGCTGTCCTAGGCGTGTCCTACCTGCTGGCCTCCTGGGCCCCCCTGATGGCTGCCTGGTGCGGCCCTGGGGAAGCCAGCCCTGGGCCGGCCACCAGCTCAGGGACCAGGCTTCCCAGGCTTCTGTTGTCTGGAAGTCTCCCTTTCTGGAGCAGGTGGTGGGAAGTGGAGTATTCCAGAACATCTTCGTCAGATGAACCCGGGACACAGACCCAACGGGCATCTCCAGGCAGTGGAGGGCTGCAGTGCCTGATGACCCAGCACCACCAGGGTCCTGGCGTGTGGCTGGTGGGCCATCCCCTGGGTGACTGCCATGGCCCAAGCATGGGCTCTATGGATGGCTGGCTCCCCGGGGTTGGTGTCCGCACGTCCACAGCCAGCCATGTGTCCTGGCCCCGGGAAGGACCATGGCAGCATCTCCCACCTTTCATTCCGCCCGTGTCCTGCCTGACTTTCCACTGCTGCCCTTAGGTGGGGTGGGGGGCAGGCCCTGGAAGCAGGCTTAGGCTGGGAGGCCCGGAGGGTGCTCTTCCTCAGAGGGCCTCAGAGGGGACAGGAAGCCCCCAGGTGGCTTCTTTGGGCATCTGGTGAGTGCTCTCCAGGCCACAGGGCCTGGCTCTGGCCTCTGGGTGCACACTGGCCATGTGAGCACCTGTCCTTGCCTTCCTGGGGGTGGTTTGGGTGCTGGGTAGCACCCATGAGGTCACCTTCCTGTCAGTGTGCAGGGGATGGCTGGACAGTGCCCCTGAGCCTTGGGAGCCAGGCGGACGGCACTGCTGCTGTGTCCTGTGTGTTACTTGTTGATCCCGCATCTGTTTGCAACTGCTTCTGTGAACCAGTGTTGGCCACGGCCGGTGTCCTGAGCTGGTGGCCCTTTGCATGAGGCCTTTAGTTTAAGATCTTGGCTGGGCAAGGGGCAGATCTTGGAACGTGTTCGCTCCTTGGTGCCGACGACGTGCTCCCCATGCTGGGGTGAGGCACTGGATGAGGGTGGCCCAGGGCCCGTGGTGCAGGAGCGAGCCTCGCCTACCACCGCCGGATGTACTTTTTTTTTTAACAGCAATAATTAGCCATTTTGGAGAAGGGGCGTGTCCGCCTGTGTGTGTGCATGTATATGCACGTGTGCATGCATGCCCACGTGTATGTGCACATGAACACAAGTATGTGCCTGTGAGCATGCCTGCACATGCACGTGGATGTGTGCCCGTGTGCGTGCACACGTGTACATGTATGTGCACTGTGTGCCTGCACATGCATGTATGTGTGCACACATGTGCATGTGAGTGGTGACAGGGAGGGAACCTGGTGGCCGAGGGCTTAGCAGGACAATGGCTGTGCCCAAGCTCTGTGGCTGGGCCGGGCCTGTTGGGGCCCCGCGGCTGTGAATGTAACAGTCCCTTGGGTGGAGGGCGCCGGCTGGCCTGCGTGAAGCCGGCATCAGCCGGATGAGCCTTTGCCTGCGTCTGGGTGTGGGGAGGGTGGCCTGGGTCAGGCCGCGTGGCCGTGGCTGCTGTGGCTGCCGTGTCTTCTGGCCACGGCGCCTGGTTTCACCTACCGTGCTTTATTGCTTGTGATCCCGCGACGGGGGTGACTTTCCTGAGACCCAGGATGTGCCAAGACAGCCCGCAAGGGCCCAGAGTGGGGCGAGCTGGGTCCCCGAGGAGACAAGTGGGTCCCCGGCTTCCGTGGACGGGAGCAGCAGGAGGGTGGGGGCCGTGTGGTCCTTTTGCCTACATCCCGATGCTGCTGTTTCTCAATAAAGCCAGAGTTGACGGAACCAGGCTCCATGCTTCTTTGAGGCGTCCCCAGCCCGCCACTGGGCTGCACGAGGCTAACTTTCTGGAGACTGGGCTAGACCAGTTGCAGGGTGACCTGGGGGACCGAGACGCCTTCCCTATCTGGCACCCCCTGGTGGGTGGGGGCTCTGCTGCAGGCCCGGGTGTCCGCAGGTGGTGTTAGGCCCACTTGGGTGGAGCAGTGGGACCCCGGAGTCTGTAGGGAGGGGGATGACATGGAGCTGGGGGTCCAGGCTGGAGAACAGGGAGCGGAGGGGTCAATGAGGTTCAAGGCGGACATAGCCCTGCCTTGTCCCTGGGGACCTGAGCTGGCCTGGCTCCTGGCCCACCCCTTTCCAAAGAGTCTGCCATCAGGGGTTCACCAGGGGTGCTTCCTTTTCTGGGGTCCTCGACGTTGAACCCAGTGTCAGTGTGTCTCGAGGCCTGAAGGCGGCAGCATTGGGACATGTGTGGCCCTGGCCGGGTCCCTGCGTGGCACTCTGGCCCCGGGGCATGGGTCACTTTGGGATGGCAGCTCCTGGACCGGTCTGTTTTGAACAAGACGTCCCCCATGTGGCCCACCAGTGGCCCTGCCTCTGAGGTGAGTGTGGACAGGCTGCCTGAGGTGTGGCCACACAGTGCGCACACGGACACAACCCGGCAGCTGGTCTGGGCCAGCTCTCCGATTCAACCCGTGGAACCAGGGACAGCGTCCTAAAGCCATGAGGAGACGGGCCTGGGCCCAGTGAACAACGGAGACTGCGTCCATGTGCGCTGCACAGGAGGCACTGCGTGGAACTCTGCCACCATTTAAACAAGGCCAGCCTTGGTGCGTGCGGAGGGCCACCTTTGCTCAGACCTGGAGCTGTGCCTGGGTGCCTGCCGTGTTCACCCGCCCTGGACAGGGGCCATGGGGACCAGCACCCCATTGAGAGGGCGGCCCATGGAGCCCAGACCTAGATAAGGAGTGGGAGGGGCCGTGGCCCCTCAGTACAGGGTACTCTGGAAGCGGGATCCCCAGGTGCATTCCCAGGGGCTGCGATGGGGCAGCCAGGCACTGATTAGCCATGTGCACTTGTGCCAGTGACGTGACTTCTCCCTGTCTTAGTTTCTTCACTGTGCAGAGGGCGCACCAGCCCCTCTCACAGGCTGCTGGGGGGCTGCTGGGCATGGGCCGGGCCTCCCTGTGGACACTGGGAGCTGTGAGAGTAGATTCAGGGCACGGGGAGCCAGCCTGGGCCCCGGCCGGCCTGGGCTGGCGGAGGGACTGCTGGGCCCTGAGCCCTGAATGGCGAGGGCCGTGGTGTGGCGTTTCCCACCCTCCAGAAGCATTTACTGCACAAGGGTGACAGCAGCTCCGTGTCAGGCGTTTACTCCTGGGGACGGTCCAGAGAGCGAATTTGGCCCCTGCGTGGCCTGCTGTAGCCAAGGAGCCAGCACGCAGCACCAAGCCTTGACCTTGGGGAAGGCCACACAATGGCTGGTGGAAACCAGCTCAGTCCTCCCGCTGTTGCCTGGGGCTACGGACAAAATGAAGGCGAAAAATGCACAGGCGGGGGGTGGGTGCTGATGAGGGGCCCAGCGGGGGCCGGGTGGTTGCCTGGAGACTCAGCAGGACGTGGACTCGGCTGAGGGCACAGGGCCTCCTGCAGTGGCACCAAGTGTCCCCAGGAGCGGCCAGCACTCAGGCTCACCTTCAGGGGTACCTGTGGGTGGCAGTCAGAGGTGAGCACCAGGCCCAGGCAGCCTTCCCGCCACCTTCCAGGCCCTGCACGCAGGTGGACAGGGCCCACAGTGCACAGGCGGCCACCTGACCAAAGGTGCAATTAGACACAAGCACAGCAATACTGTGGACAGATGCACACTCATGCACACGTGCAAGGACAGGAAGACGGGCTCACGCTGCATTCGCTGCCAGTCAGGATGCCTTGACCTTGGCCGGACACCCCCTGACCTTCCAGGGCCTCCGTGCCAGTGAGCATGCCTGCAGGGACCAGGCAAGGTGCCCAACCTGAGCTCACCACTTCAGGGCCCTGCTCCTAGGGGGACAACTGGCCCTGAGAGGTGCCGGGGGCCCTGGAGAGCCCTCCCCAGGACCTTGACCCTGAGTGGGCCCTTGCCTGAGGCCCCGGACCGCTGCTTATCAGCTCCCTCTCCAGAGGGGGTGGCTGCCCACAGCTGCAGCCCCTGTTGCCCACGGGACCACTAGTGGGTGGGGCTCCCTCCACGCCTCCATCTGCTCAGGAGCGAGCAGGGACGACCCCGGAACTCCTGACCTCGGCTGGGCCCACGGGCCGCTCCTGCAGAGCCAGGTGAGGGGTGCTGCGGGGTGGTTCTCGAGTAGGGGCATAGAGAGGGGCCACAGCCCGAGGGAGGGAGAGCGAAGAGGTGGGGGAGCTTTTCCCAGAGGAGCGGAGGCCACCACGGGAGTCGGCAGCCTTTCCTGCAGCCCTTCCTGGTGGCCCCAGGTGCCTGCCGGAACAAAGCACCACTCTGGGGTGACAGGGACAGTGACGGGAGTGTCTCTGTCTCACCGGGGCCATCTGCACAGGCTTCCCGCCTCCACTCCTAGTCTCTCCACCTTCCCTACTGCCTTGGGGGGGTGGCCCTCCAAGAGGTGACCAGGAGTGGGTCTGGGCCGGGCTCAGCAGGCCCTAGGGTGCACCCGAGGCAGGTGGGGTGGCACTGGGTAGAGGGCTAACAACGCTCCTTGTCAAGCCCCGAGGGACACCTGGCCCAGTGCCCACAGCCCCTGAGGACACCCACTGTGGCTTCTCACCAGCTAGAAGGGCCACGGCTCGTCACCCTGGCAACTGGGCTCCTCGCAGGGCAGGTGGGAGATGGCAGCTGCCTGGCCGGCCCCCCCGCCCCC